GTTTAGCTGAGCAAGGTGCTCTTGTATTAAGGGGATGCGCATGAGGAGGCCCAATGTCCACCTGCCACCCTACTACTAAACCTATAAATATATGCACCTAGGTCCATTTCCCCCATAATCTTAAATATATTTACATATGTACATATCTCTATTTAGGCTTCTATATATGCCCTTTGCCTTCTACTCCTTTCCTCTATTTCCTCATGCTTTCCTCTTGTCCCACTACCATGTTCAGCCTTCATTCTGGTTTCAGTAATTCCTCTCAGTTACATTGCCCTTGGTCACTCCCTACCAGTCCTCCCACCCACTCCCTGCCATTGGATTTGAACCACTCGTTGTTCCCTTGTCCCTGGGTTAGCCAACACCTCCTCCCTTCCCCTACCTCCCACACTCTCATGTCCCTCCGGGGTCGTTGGTCCCTTTATTTTCTTCTCACATTTTTTTTTCCTAGCCTCTCTTATCTAGGTGGACCTGCAGATATTAATAGAACAGAAATCAATTTACGAAACAGGAACAGAAATCACCATGTATTTTCTAAGGCAATTTTTATTCATGCTTCCAGTTAAAGAGAATGATATCCTCGGATAAGGTAGTCCAAAGTTAAAACATCTGTATTTCCCATACTACCTATTCTTCTTTTCCACAAAAGAAACAAAATTAACCTTTGTAATATTAGCAAAAACACTTATCAATGAAATAAAGTTCAGACACACACACGCACACACATTCCCCCTCTCTCAAGCCTATCATATTGTTCTTGAACCTTTGAAGATGTCAGCTGGCCAGAGGAGAAAACCAGACTCTGGCAGAGCTGGCTGTCTGGTGGCCAGGTATGCATGGAGGTGCGTTGTTCCCTGTAACCCTCCTTGTCCCCCACCCTCAAATAAAAAGCTTTTAAAACCTTCTTTAAATGACCTACAGAAGATAAGATTAACCACCCCCTACCTTTTTAATTCCACTTTCGATCTCAAAGAGCTTACTGTCAGAAGATCTCAGAATAAGCCGGGGGTGGGGTGGGGGATATTGCCTTTCTTTTTTTCTTAATATGAAAAAGAAAATTATATCTACCGAACATTTTACATAGCTGCTGTGTCAACATAACTCACATACATCTTCATATGATGCAGGTCACAAGAGCCTAGGTGTTATCAGCCCCTCCCACCCCCTAAACAAAGGAAACAGCCTTAGAGAAAGAAAATTAAAAAAAAAATCATTTTCTCAAATGCTTAAGTGACAGAATTTTAATGATTCTAGAAACCAGGATTCTGTATTTATTTAAAATTTTATACAAACAATATTCTTAAAATACGAGATTAGTTGATAACAGAGTATATTTGTGCTTTTCTTTTTCTTTTTTTTTGAGGGGGAGGGAAAGTATTTGACTTTTGCTTCTCTCTTTAAAACATGTTGCTTTTCAAATTTGTAGGAACATTGTTTTAAGAATAAGATGTGGGGGGCGCGGGGAGGGAGGGGAAAAATGAGGACCTAATGTCGGGGGTTTAAGTGGAGAGAAAATGTTTTGAGAAACGATGTACAAATGCGCTTTACACAATTGATGTGTGTATGGATTGGGATAACAGTTGTATGAGCCCCTAATAAAATGTTAAAAAAAAAAAAAAAAGAATAAGATGTGACTGGGTGTTTATTGTTGTTGCTTCTTGGGTGGCTGTGGTTTCAGGCTTATGGTTAAAACTACAGTTCATGTATGGCATAGCCCCAGCATGACATATCTGAACACGTTCTATGGTTTGACAGGGGAATTACCAGGGTTTTGAAAAACTCCAAAAACTTCTGCAAGACCATGACAGTGGTAGACAAATATAATTATTTTAAATCTTAGATAAGAAACTTAAAAGATTTCTCCACTGCAATGATACGTGCAACTAGAAACACAGTGCTATAAAATATTGTTCAATTTAACTAGTTAATCTTCCTAAGGGACCTAACAAAATGATTTTACCCATTGTGGACCCCTCATAAGGACAAAATTAGAACTATTTTTGTTAGCTAGTGAACCCCACAGTAGAGAGGTGAAAGCCGACGGAGACAGGCACTGAGAGAAGGAACAACACGACTAAAGGTTTTGCTGATACAATGCTAAAGGAAGAACCAGTAAATCAACAGTGATTTTCAGAGTGGGCTGTTTTATAGAAAGTGTGCCATCTATGCTTTATGTAGGTCTTTAAATTCTCAGAAGACGCAATTATCTTTGTAACACTGCCTTATACATAGCATATGCATAAAAATGGACAATGAAATGATGACAGTATGCTAACAGGTACAGAAACAGGCAAAGATTCAGGGTCAGATATAACTATAAAGACAAGGAAATATCCTTTTTCTAAGACCAGCCTCTTCTGATTATTATACAAAAGGTAGACTCAAGAAATATGAAATCTAAAGGCATGCAGTCAAAGACAGATTACAAGAGATAAGCTCCTTGGCCCCGAAAGAAAGCAGGTCACAGACACTTCAAGAGCATACATTCGCCCTCAGCACCGGAGACACTGCTCTTACTTGCCTAATGAAGATCGTGTGTGTTTGGGGGGGACCACAAAGCAAAGTGTTTGTTTTTTTTAATATTATCTTCTGAAATTTTTTCTGTAGGGAAAAATATCAAAGAGAGGTAGACAATGATCTCAGAAAAAAAGAAGACCCCAGGAGAAAACTGTCATGTTCTGTGTTTCAGTTTCACAGAAGAGTCCTAACTAGAGGTTAGCGTCTCTCGGAGTTCTTGTCATTCAGGATCGGAAATTCTAATCTGGTGGTGTGGCCAGTGGAGACCTAGACTAAGTCAAATATGCTGATGAGTTGAAATAGTTAATAGGTGGGGTTCACTTCCTTCCTTATGGTTTCCAGGTCCTCATTGAAAAACGATGGCAGCTGCCACTTCCTGTGTAAGCTCTGGAAAAGCCATGGTGGGGTGGGGGTAGGGGACTCAGTGGGCCTCTAATTTAGTTTTACTAGATGAAATGTTACATCACTCTGGCTCACCTCAGTCTCCTCTGTCTCTAGGGAATGGCAGAATTTCAAATAACGTCTATTTATAAACCCCGGCAAACGATACTTGCATTCATCTTGGACTGTGACATCATTTCCTCATCAATAATTTAGGAATAAGAAATGGATTAAAGGAACTCTGGAGGGACTTCTCACACAGGGAAAAATAGAAACCAACTCCATGCTACAAAATATTAATTCAGTCTTCTTACCCTGTTCTTTGATCTGGCGGATTTGCTTCACAGTTTCTTTTAAGATTGCACATTTGTCAGGTTTGAAGTTGAAATTGTCTATATCATTAAAATTTGCAAAAATCAGCTCTGCAAGTTCTTCTATATATTTATTTTCCTGTTCACGATTACGTTTCTCAGTGCTCCTTTTGGGGCTACAAAAAGAGAAACACATTTTTATTACACATTTGAAAAAGCACTATTATAAAAGAAAAAGGTATGTAACTTGAAACAAGCTCTACTACAAAGACAGCACATAAAATTCACTTATGTAAGTAGAGGCGTACACTGGGGGGGGGAAAGCAATTGCTTTACACATTGCATATTTTCCTTTAATTGAGCTTACTCTAGTTTGTAATTATGTATCTACTTGGGTGATCATTTGTTCAAAGTGCTTAACGTCTGCTTCATGATGGCAAGGACCACCACTACTACACTTATTCTGATATTTGGCACAAGTAGGAATCCTACTTGTTGTTGAATCAATAAAGGATTGTTTTAGAAAGGTCAGGCAGATTACCTCTATAATTAAAAAAAATTCGAAAAGAAGAAAGAGACATCAACCTAATTATATAGGAATAAATAAAAGTCAAGTAATTTTGTCAAGGCATAAAGAGTAATAAAAACAAAAAGTAACGCAAATAAATCTTTAAAATTTCATAACTTTCTTTTGGATGTGAATAATCAAATCATACTTTCTTTTGAGATAAAGCACAAAGCAAACAAACAAAAAACCCCAAAGAAAAGTAAGTACAGCTAGAAATAAAAGTGAAACTGATTCAAGATATCTATTAACTGCCCACGATGAATGACTTTAAAAATATAAATGGCCCCAGTTCAACAAAAGCCTCAAAAACATCCAGAAGAGAAAACATATCAAATTGGCACAATCATCTCATTTGAATTTGATAAAATAGCCCCTCTAAGAGTTCCGTATAAAAACAAGAACATATAATCATTTTCACAAGTGCATTAGAGGACTTACTAAATGACTTTCAAAACTTTACCATACTTAAGAAGTGAATATTGTTCACTGACTGTAAACTGATTTTCAATTTTTTGTTAAAATAATTTTATAGAAATCTTAACACATACAATCTAGAAATTTTTAATAGACTTCTGTCTATGCACTGCTATTAGATTGACATTCAAGGTTGAATAGATCTGAGATATAGCACAATTTCTTGGCTTTACAGTAATTACAAGATTTGCACAAGCTCACCCGGCAAGTTACTGGCAGACTAGGGAAAATTTTTCTAAGTCTCGGTTTTACCCCCAGCTTCTACTTTAAGTACAGGGAAAGGAGAAGGTGACTCGAATGCTTGGAAGAATCTAGTTCCTAGCTGAGGGCCCATGGCACAAGATAATAAATTCATGACAAATAAGAGAGAGAAAGGGCAGCCTGGTTATAACTAAGCCAGAGAAATGCCCACCCACTAGGGCAACCCGCATAAAGCCCCACTGGAACAGCTTTCAGTGTTTTTTTACAACAAACTTCTCCTTCGGGTAAACTCCTGCGTATTAAAGGAAGCCTGATAGGCAGAAGGTCTTGGCTTACCAGGCAGGAAGTACCAGGGAAACTAGAAGTAACGTAGTGCTGGGGGCTGGGGATTTCGAGAGTGCAGGCTTAATAAGCTTGTTGTTTTGCTTGGCAGCTAGAAAGGGAGAGGGAACTGAAAATACTGGCTTCTTGTCTTTTCTCCTTCTGGGCTTCTCTTGATGAGTTTTCCTAGCCCTCCTCCCTCCTCCCCAGTGTTCGCCCATCTAGCTGATCTTTTCATTTGGCCATTCATGAAAAAGTTGCAATTTTTATTCAACTTTTAGGATAATTTATATGATTTAATGAATCAAGACTTTTAAAAAGTATCTTTTAACCTTTGCTTTCTATTTGTCTTATTCCCAGTTAACAACTGCTACTAGTTTTTAAAATCATCTAACCCCAATATCTTATTGTGTTATTTTTAGGAGAAAAAAAAAAGTTATTTTCTTCCCTTTTTTAAACAAATAGTTGTGATCCAAATGAGGTTAAGTCAACAAGTATTGCTACAAAATAATAGAAACCTTTATTAAACAAAGACAGCAAAAGGTGAAGCTACTGTTTCTGGACATACCCTGCTTTCTCGGTCTACACACTTATGAGCATGGGTCTTTCCATCTATAATCCTTCCTCCAAGAATTCTGCACTTTCCCATTTACAGCACATCAAAACAATTTTGGCATCCTTAAGGGACTCAAGTCATACTTTAAAATACCCTTTTGAGTTTTGGGAACAAAGAGAAGTCTGAATCTAAAGGGGCTAAATCAGACTGTAGTGTGGATGGGATAATGTTTCCTAACAAAACACTCATCCGACAGTCCTCAGAGAATGAGCAGGCAGCATGTGCGTTGGTTGATGCAAAAATATTCCTCAGTGCAACTTTCCTGGCCTTTTTTCTGCAATGCAGTTTTCAATTTTCTTAAAACTTCTTCCCAAGATGTCCCCATGACTATTCTGTATCCAAGGAGACCTGGTGGCATACTGGTTATGCATTGGGCCCCTAAACCCCAAGGTCGGTGGTTTGAAATCACCAGCTGCTCCAAGGAGTTTTCCACTCCTATGAAACTCACAGGGGGTAAACAGTTCTACCCTGTCCTATAAGGTCGATATGAGTTGGCATTGACTCAATGGCAGAGAGTTTGATTTTTGGTTTTGGTTTGAGAAAATCTATCAAGATTACCTCTTGGGAATCCGCCCCCCAAATAAACCACCAACCAATCCAATTTCCATAACCTGAACTGACATCTCTGACTTGAATTTATCTGGCTCAGTAGATCCGCTCGGAAGCCACTGTCTTTGGAGGAAGGCACCCTAGGCAGACTAACTGTATCAGAGAGAGCTTGTGATCACAGAGACAAGTTTAAATACATTTTGTTAGTAACAAATCTGAACTCCAAGGAACTAGAACCCTGGGAGCAATACTATTTGACTTATCCTTGTATCATTTTCTAAATGTTGCCTTTTCTCTGTAATATGCTTAGAAATATTTTCTGTACCATCATAAATGTAATAATTTTTTTCATATCTGCATCACGATCTAGTGCGTGATAATGCACTTTTTTTCTATTATAAGTAATGCTGTGACGATAACTATGCATTCATAGTTTTACAAAGCATTGCTAAATTACTCTGTTTGGAAGTTATAACAATGTACAGTTTGACTCATATGTGACAGAATTTTTAAAATTATTTGTTGAAAAGTGATCATCCTTGTCTTCAACTCAAAAACAAGTTGTTTTAAAATGAAATGTCTTGCCTATTTCTTAAAAAACGAAGGTAAATAAATTTAAAACTCAGTCTAAAATCAATATTACATCATCTTACTACCGGATCTTGTTGTATTTATAACATGCTGTGATCTAACAGGGAGTTAAACTAGTTCAGTCATGGCTAAAATAGTGAAATCAGAACAGACAGGTATTTGTACAATGTGCGTGCTTCTAGAATGTAACCTAAGAATGGGAGACTTATAAAGGCACAGAAATGCCCTTCCTGGAGCCTGACATGTGTGAAAGGAGCAAATTGGTGGTAGGCCACCGAATTTGAGTCTGACCCAGCTGTTACCAACCCTGTTGACCAAGAGTTGGTTGCTATGCAATGCACAAGCTGCCCTTGTTTTGTAAGAGGGGGTTTAGGTTTCTGGCAGGGTGTTGGCTTATAATTGTCCCCATTCTGGTTTAACTTCTTGGCCATGAATGAACCAAGAAGGATTGGTTCAAAGTCCTGGATTTAGCAGGGGAAAAATATGTTAAAAAGTAGAGTAAGTTGTTTTTAAGAATCAATGACACAGGGTGTGTTTGAACAAATATGCATTTTTCCCTTGTAAAGAAAATTAGTAATGATAGCATATTCAAAATACGCATTAAACATTCATTCATATTTAAAGGTTTAACTGTCAAGAAGAAAAACCAAACATAATATTTGAAGAAGGAGTAAAAATCAATGCTAAGACAACTAAGAAGCACACAAGTGGCATTCCTGGACAGCTGATTCTTCTTCACAGTACGAATCTAACCTGGGTCCAAGCTGGTCCGGACATTCCTTGCGCTTCCGTGTCTCTGCCCTGGACGGGTCAGAGGTATTTTCTCCCATCCCACTCATCTTGAACACATATCAGCAACTAAAAACAACACAAAAGAGAAAACATGAAAAGAGCTGAAAATAATTTGTTCAATACATTCATCAACAATAAAAAACTTTAATTTTGACCACTGTAATTAACATATTATTTTGATATATACATGGGTGTATCAATTCTGACAAAATTGGATTTAAACAATTACCTTAGTTAATTAATTAAAAGGCTAAGTGGATGCAAAGGTTAATATTTAAAACCTAGGTAATCCTACGGCTTTGTCTCCATACCCTCTAACCAGGAGTTATATTTTGGGAGGACCATGAACTATAATCTGCTAGCCCCTGCTTTACGCCACCAGCCTCCAGTTTCAGGAACAGTTTTGCACCATGTGGAAATTACAGGTGTTGTAAAGGGCTCCTCCCAGGCTCTATTTTGGGCTGGCCAATGTGAAGACTGTGCTGTAAGCGTACCCGTGACAGCCCCCGCAAGAAGATGCAGTGCCATTTCACTGACCTAAATGTTTCCAAACCTAGCCTGGTAGATTTGAGACCCTTCTGCTTTCTCTAGTTTCTCCACAAGACCTCTTAGGCAATGCCCCCTGGGTGAAGGATCTTCCTGCCTCCCAGACCTCCCTCGCTGACCTCTTCTGCAGGACAGTTACCCAGTGCACACAAGGTGGCTTCCTCTCTCACATCCTGCCACACCTCCCATCCCCTAAGCTGACTGTAGCTGTTATCACTGCAGGTCTTAAGATGTACCCAAGAAACAAGAAGAACTTTTCTGATCCTGACAAGGAAGACCATGGCTGGCTTCTGCCTGTAGTACAACAATAAAAGGACATATAATAAGAGAATAAGCAAGCTCTACTGACCATCACGACCAGAATCTAAATGACACCAGAGAAAGCAAAGAACAAGAAAGTAATAGCGATTCTAAAAGACTAACAAAGATCTTGAAAAAAATGGATGCTTGTTAGTAAAAATGTAAAAAGCAGACCCAGAAGATTATGTCAACATTTCAAAATCTCTGAGTTTCAATTCTGTTATTCTCCCTTCCTCTGTCGTGTTAGCCTGCAACAATGATCTTCTCTCTTCCCTCCCTCTTTAAATTGAGAAGTTTTTCTGCCTTTTCCAATCATGAAAACCAGATTGAAGGTCGAGTCAGAAGACCAAGGGCTTAGAGAAGACGCCAGAGAGTAAGAGATCCCTGGAGAGCAAGGACTGAGAAGGTGGGTCCAGGAGAACGTCACCCAAGACAGCGTTGTTGCATCACAGTCACATACCAGCTGCTCCACACAGTGTGATCTGGGAGGCTCAGTTTCAGTCACACTGCACACCCTTCTCTGGCTACTATGTCAGACCCAATGGGCAGAAGAGCTAAATGTAACTTCTAAGAGTCCTGTGTAAGTCTGGAAAGACACACTGTGTCAGCAGAGGAAGGTAACACCAATTGTACATGCCAGTCAAGAGGTCACCAGAGAGGTTGTACAAAGCTGAGGGCCGATGTCTGAGCTTCCTGTTGGTAGGAACAACATAACCCAGGTCCCAAGGTCCTGCACTGGGATCCCAAATTTGTCCTGATAGTTCTGTATTTAATTACAACTCACTTCACACTTACTAAGCAATCTTCTGATATAAATGGATCATCTAAAGCTGGCTATGAGGGGCAGGATAGCAGAAAAACTAAGGTATTCATGTCTCTTCCACCTGGTTAGCTGTGTGACCTAAAGAAGTGATATTAGGTCTCACGCTTTAAATAAAATGGGGAGATAATCATTAGCACTTACATATGGCTATTGATAGATTAGTAAGCAGCGGACTGTGATTGAGATGCAGATTTACACAACTCCTACTCTTAACTAAACTATTACAGTAAAAGATTTAATAAGCCATTCCTCCTCTAATTACATAGTCAGCGGTCAGGTGGGAGATGTAGTTAGATTTGAATGGTGTGGCCTGTAGTCAGTTCTTGACTATTTTGGTTTCTTCTAAATGTCACTCAAGGAGTCCCGGTGGCAGAGGGGTTAAGGTCAGTGGTTCTGGTCCACCAGCTGCTCTGTGGGAAAAAGAGGAGGCTATCTTCCCTGTGGGGGGAGGTCAGATGCTTCAGACTACTGTAGGCCCTGCTCCCAGCTGTTAAAGACAATGGACAGGCCTGTAGTAATCTATTTGGTTCCTGTAGGTGGAGTTTACACCCAACTGATAACGGTTCCTATGGAGATGCAGAGAACAGATCAAACCCGATCAGTGAATCTAGGATCCGCCCATCTTGTCACATGTATCCCTAGATTGTCCCCCTCTCATTGCTGTGCAACCCATAGTGCAACCCCTTCCTGTGACGTATGTCTTTACCTGTGGGTAAAGTGGGCTTGCACGCCCCCCCAAAGGTATATAGGCCTGGGTTAGCAATAGAGACCGCCTCTTTCTCTCTCTCTCTGCTCCTCCCTTGACCTCTCCTGGGCTTCCTCTCCTCCCCTGTTCCCTTTCCCATTGTCCTTCTTCCCTTCCCTCTCCACGTGGACCACCAAGAGGGGCTGAGGTGAGCATTGCTACCATGAAAAGTGTCGGACTCCATTATTGTATTATCTCTTATCGCTCATGTTCTCGATGACTTTAATATAATATTATCTCAACTGTACAATTGTGCTTCCTGAACTCGTGGTTAGTGGGGGGGGGGGGGGCTGGCATCCCCCACCTCCAACTGCACTTCCCTGGTAAAGATTTACAATCTTGGAAACCCCAAGGAGTAGCTCTATTCTACCCTATGGGGTTGCTATACATTGCAATGGACAGGACAGCAGTGGGTTAAAATTTACTCATTCAACAAAAGCTGCTTGCCTACCACAGAACTACTGTACTGCAGCGATGAAGGTGAGGAAGAGTGCTGCTTGCAGGAAACCAACAAATTAAGAAGGGAAATGGTGAAAGGTACTAATACAAATGCAATAACTCCTGGAGACTGTGAGATCTGAGAAGAAAGAACAACACTTCGCTGGCTAGGATGGAGGTGGTACTGAGCTGAAACTTGAAGATGGTGTGTGATTTTACATGGTGGGAAGTGGATTCAAGGCATTCCAAGAGGAATCAAAATGCTAAACACCAGAATCCTTCTTAGACCAATATCTGGAGGGCATGAATTTCCAAAGTTTGTCTCTGAAACACAAGTCCTATAGTTTCATTCATGAACATGTAAGGGAAAAAAATTAGGGATTAAATCTAAGTAAGTTGCAATATATGACAGGGATTTTTAACCTTGGAAGCCGCTTTCTACAGTAGGAATACATGATAAGAGTTCTGTTGAAGAAAATGGCTCATACTCGACCCCCTTTGTCCCCCCTGCGAACCCCAGGGTATCACCACATATATTACGAAGTGTAATGCATCACCAGAACGGTCAAACTTTTTCAAGAGACTATTTTTAAAAGTAACAGTTTTACTTAAGGGCATAGATATCCAGTTTGGGTATTAAACAATATCATCAAAATAATTTACCTCTAAATTACCCAAAACATACTGATACTAATAATTTTAACTTTGCCTCAAGACGGTACTCATGTATCTCAATGAAGGAACCTGAGGGAGATAGAAGGAAGCAAGGACCTAACACTTTGTGGTTTAAATGCACTTAAAACCATTTGAGCAGATTGTTTATATTTCACTTGTACCGACTCAAGGCTGCTTACAAACCACTCTATTTGTAGCTTTAAATCACCATTAGTTTCCTCTTGAAGCAAGCTACTTAAGTCCTATGCTCTCCCTTTTATTATTATGTTATGGTGACTTAAACGTATTTCCTCATGTGTGTTTCCTTATTTTTCTGTCTTCCCAGTATGTCCTTTTTTCTGAGAAATATTCTTGGCTACACATCTGCAGTACACATTTCCAATCAGCCTCTAAACCTTCAAAGAAAAAGGAAAGTAAAAAAGAAGGGAGGAGGGGTGGGTTATGGAAAGTTGCAAGCTAAGGGAAATTAAAATAAATCCATGAGAGCCAAAATATGATGACCATGAGTTTATCCCATCTGAATTTTGAGAACATCTCAAAAATAGAAAGGACTTATTGGACACAAACAACAGAAGACCTGATCAGTTGTAGCATGACAAGAACAGTATCAAAAAGCAAAACAAACACACACAAAAAGCCCAACATAATAAAGAAAGCAAAAGGTCATTATAAAAAAAAAGAGACAAAAGGAAAAGACCGAAATGAAAGTCAGAAGAGCCTGGCAGTTGCTCTTGATCATACTGCAGCTCAAAGAAGTAGAGGAAATGATAAAGCAAGAGCCGAACAGAAACTTTCAAAGGGCAGCTCTAGAAGACGAACTGTTATGATAAAGTGTGCAAAGACTTTGTGTTATAAAACAAAAAATGAAGACTACATTAACATATCTTGCATTGAAAGAACTTGTACAATATTGAAAGATTACACAGGATCACTGTACCAAAAAGAATGTGGAAATTTTTGAATACTATCATTAATATCACATGTAAGTAAAAGTTTGCTGAAGATCATTCAACAATGCCGGTAGCAGTATCCACTGACAGAAAGCTGCCAGAAATTCAAGCAGGATTCCGAAGAGAAGGTGGTATGAGAGATAACACTATTGCTGTCAGATGGATCTAGGCTGGAAGCAGGTAACACCAGAAAGATGTTTTTTGTTGATGACAAAGCATTTAACGGTGTGGATCATAACAAACTATGGACAGCCTTGAGAAGAACGGGAATTCCAGACCACTTCATTGTGGTCAGGTGGAAACTGTACATGGACCACGAGGCAGTGCTTCTGACAAAATAAGGGAATACAACATGGTTTACAATCAGGAAAGGGGTGCATCAGGGTTTTATCCTTTCACTGTACATTTTTAATCTGTATGCTGAGCAAGTAAGCTGAGAAGATGAGCTATATGAAGAAGAATGAGTCACCAATACGAGAGTAAGGCTTCCTCACATCCTGGGATACGTGGATGACACAATCTCGCTCACTGAAATTGAGGAGGACTTAAAGCTCTTATTTTTTTTTTTTTTTAACATTTTATTAGGGGC